AGTGGGGGCCCAAAACTGGACACAGTATGCCGGATGTGGCCTCAGGGTTGAATAGAAGGGAATTATCACATCCCTTGATCTGCTGGCAACACTCCCACTAATGCAGCCCAGTATGCCATTAGCCTTCTTCACAAGGGCAGACCGCTGGCTCATATTCAGTTTACTGTTCACTTTAACTCCTAGGTGCTTTTCTCCAGAACTGCTGCTTAGCCAGTCAGCCCCCAGCCTGCACTGGTGCATGGAACTCTTCCGACCCAAGTGCCAGATTCTGCACTTGTCCTTATTGAACCTTGTGAGATTTCATTTGGTCCACTCCTCCAATTTATGTCTCTCTGAATCCTAGCCCTACTCTCTAGTGTACTCCCCACAGCTTGGTGTTATCTCCAAACTTGCTGAGGGTGCACTCCATCTCATCTTCCAGATCACTGATAAAGATACTGAACAAAAACAGTCCTAGGACCGACCCCTGGGACACTCCACTAGATACCAGCTGCCAACTAGACATCCAGCCATTGATTACTACTCTTTGAGCCTGATGATCCAGCCAGCTTTCTATCCATCTTATAGCCCATTCATCCAACCTATAGTGTCTTAGCTTGCCTGGAAGACTGTTGTGGGAGACCATATCAAAAGCCTTGCTAAAATCAAGGTATAACATGTCCACTGCTCACCCTGCCTTCACAAAGCCAGTCTTCTCAACATAGAAGGCAATCAGGTTGGTCAGGAATGACTTGCCCTTGGTGAATCCATGCTGACTGTTCCCAAACACCTTCTTCTCCTCCAAGTGCTTAGAAATGGATTCCTTGAGGACCTGGCTCTATGTTTTTTCCAGGGACTGAGGTGATCTTCCTTCTTCCCTTTCTTTAAAATGGGCATTGTATTTTTCCTTTTCCAATCATCTGGACCTCTCCCAATCACGACGTGTTTTCAAAGATAATGGCCAGAGGCTCTGCAATCACACTGACCAACTCCCTCAGCACCTCTGGGTGCACTGTGTCCGGCCCCATGGACTTGCACACATCCAGCTTTTCTAAAAGGTCCCTGATGTGTTCTTTTACTATTGTTGGCTATTCACCTTCTCCACAAACTGTTCTGCCAGGTGCAGTAGTCTGGAAGCTGACTGCCTGTGAAGAATGAGGTAAAAAAGACATATAGTACTTCAGCCTTTTCTACATCATCTGTCACTAGGCTGCTTTCCCTATTCAAAAAGGGACTCATACTTTCCCCGATCTTCCTTTGTTGCTCACATACGTGCAGCAACCCTTCTTGTTACCCTTCACATCCCTTGCTGGCTGTAACTCCAATTGCACTGTAGCTGTGTAGGCAGGTTTTATGCATTAATAAACCTAGTTAATAAACGCTGGTATTTGGATCTC